GATGGGCCCCGTTTAATCATACACCTTATTTTACATAGGATTCTCTGCACTCAATGTTATACTTCATTTGCTTAATGCTGGAAATGAAATAAAGAAAAAAATGTTAAAACCTAAGATAACCTAGAGTCTCCCCAAACCCCTGGCAACCTGACTAACCACAAGAGTTTGGAAAGATTTTCCACATTCTCCTTAGCCTGCCACAGCAGAGGAGCAGCCGGGGTCATCCAGATAGAGCACAGTGGAGGCACAGTAAGACCAACAACACACACCTAAGAGGAAAACCTCCTATGAACAGAGTAATGAAGTTGATATTTTTAAGGGTAGGATAGGGTGACCAAAGACAGGGAGGAGAAATATTTGATGTTACCAGGTAAAAGTGCAGCATCTCAAGACACTAGTTTGTTTGTGGCAAGAAATGAGAGCTGGTTACCATCTCAACAAAAGCTGAGTTTGATTATCTAGACATAAAAGAATACAAACAAATCAGAACAAAATCAAAATAGCAGAATCAAAATACTGCAAATTAAGGGGTACGATGAGGTGAATCGCCCATGTAAAGAAAGATGAGCTAGAAATTCTTTATCATAGAATAGATAGACTAATACATCTGAGAGTGATTCTGTCTCTTATCACTGGAGAACTCTAAGGGCAGAGACATACCAAGCTGATGTGAAAGAACTAGCAGCAACATAAGGTGACAATTGTGTTGCCTCACATCGCCTGTCTGGGCAAAGTCAGGTTGAAAATGTGGCACTTGAACACACAGCACAGACTACAGCCAGCAGCCAACTAGCACATACATTCTGCACCTGCATGACAGAAATATCACCCTCTGCCAGCAGGTGCTGTTATGTGTATTCACCATTCAGAAAGGGAAAGAAGAAGAGCTAGACAGTGGAAATGCAAGCTGTAAACAAAGCAGCTCTCAACACAGCTGCTGTTTATACCTGATTCTATTTGAGAATATGTCTGATAAGAAGATGCAAATGGATTTGCCGCTCTCTGCCCTTGGTCTTTTGTTTGTGGAAGAAGAGGTTGCAGAGGTTAAAAATAAGGAGAAATCACACAAACGACACACGACACAGACTACACAGCCAACAACCAACTAGCACGGATACTACAGTGACGGCTCAAGGGGCTTTCACAAACTGTTCTTTTCTTGTGCATTGATTCGCTAAGCTGAAAAGCCAATCAGAGTGGCCTCTTTCACAGATGAGCCAGATGCCCATGCAACATGCCAAATTGAAGGAAAAGCTGCTAACAGGGTCCAGCTAGTGTCAACAGTTCGGGACACACAGGGAAGACGAGCCCTAACAGTGGCCAACGGCCGACCATCGGCTTGGTGTGTCACGGCCCTAAAACATGATATCAATAACAGTGTGATATGACAACTAACGAAAAAAGTCAGAAGTTGGGAAAGTGAAAGCACACACAATGAGACACGTTTGAAAGAGAAATAACAGGTAATGGCATGGATAAACAGACTAAAACAAATGAAACAGAACATAGCAAACTATTTTAAAAAAATCAAAGGGAAAGCAGGGTTCAAATCCCAGGCATGAGAGTGAGGTGGGAGAGCTGGTAGAGAAAGTGAGTAGAGGGGGTGTTGCCTGTGGGACTGCTGAGGAGTCAGTGATAATTAGCTCAATTAGTGACAAAGGCAGTGTAATAAATACCGACTTAGTGTCTGGGTCCCCGCTGGCCTCTCCCTGCGCAGCCTGCGATGTGCCCCTGGCCTGACGGACAATTCATTAAACTGACAAAATACCCCACCGTCCAGGCGTGACGCAGCGAGTTAGCCCCCTACAGGCCCAGCCCATTGTTCTAATTGTCTGGGCTGGAGTCACTTTGTGGCCGCCTCCTCCTTCACCCACCCCGCCTTCACACTTTGCCTTCAGAAAACCCATGGAGTTAATGCCCCTACCTTACTCTGTAAGTAGGTGATCGGCAGGTTGGGATAAAAAGCAGTAAGAGTTCCTTGGGGTGGGGTGGCTGGTGGGGGAGGCAGTGGGATTAGCGAATGGAGGTTGCCTGGGAGTGCTGGGAGCAGCACCGATCGGAATGTAAGAGAGATGAGTCCAGAAGCTCGGATGCGAGACAAAGCGAGAGTTAATAAGGAAAGACTGAAGGGGCTGGTAACAATGGGCCGCCACCCGAGTCGAGATGAAATTGCTTCCGAGGATTATTGAGAGACGGTGTGAGCATTGTAGGCTTTTTGTGTGAGTGTGTGTTTGGTTGGGTATTTGTATGTTTGTGCTTCAGTGTGTGTGCAGGGGCAGGGGGAGTGCTGGATTGATGGCTGCCCCTCTGGTTGGGGAGCAGGGGAGCAGGGGAGGCTAACCGGCTGTTCCCACAGTCTGCTCTGCTGTGGCCACCTTTGACACACGGGGCTGCCAGGCGGCGAGCAGGCAGCCATGGTAAGAAGGGCACAAACAAAAACAACAGCTCCACTACACAAAAGTCACTGTCTAAGGAAGGCCAGTGGAGAGGTTCAGGCTGGAGGCGAGGGAGTGAGGAATTTAAAAAAAAAAAGATATAGAGATGGCACAGAACTGGACAGCAAAGTCCCATTTTTGGTTTGGATCCTGCCAGCTACTGTCTTGCCAATATCTCAAAATAATAACACACCGACATCCAGCGGAAGCTCGCTCATGTCCAGAATATGTACCGTATCACACTGCCAGTGCATTTAAGTAGCAATATTTACTTTCTAAGCTGACATTTCAAAAATACTTTGGTCAGTTTCCTTTCAGGATGAATCTACTTTCCATTATATATGCAAAAAAGCTTCACAGAATTGTTATCTGATCCTTATACAATCCCTAACATCAGGAGCAACTTTAACAAAGGTGGGGGTCAAGGTTAATAGAGCAGTTATCCCAATTAAGTAACTTGGTAACATAAAATACTGTAACTGATCTGAAGGTGACAGTGTCGCTTCAAAAAGCACTGCTCGTGATCTAGGCCCGAGAAAAGACAACAGTTTTTGCTTGTGCAAACGGCGCTCCTTATCTTGATGTAGCAATGAGGTTAATCCCAGGAGAATTTATAGAACACGGTACAGCATATTGAAAGCACAGCAGCTTCATATTAAGATTCCTGCTAAATTGTGGAAAAATCCTTGCCCGATGGGTGGAGTGGGTTCCAATTTGAAGGGCACTGAATGGTAGACTGCTCATGGTGGTTGTGATGGACACTGTAGCGTGGATTGATTCGATTTCTGTGCTGCCCCAACATTTCACTGTAATCTCCATTATAGGCAAAGTTCCAGTTAATTAGAGCAGTGTTATGACAGGAACAGCCTGACAGTGCTCATGTTATAATCAGAAGCATTTGTTTGCAGTCATTAAGTGACCACAGGGCTATTATGTAATAAGATATACATTTACCACACACATCTTTCATAACGAATTATAAACAACTAAGCCTTACCTACAGCAAGAAAAAACTACAGTCCAGTGGGTTATGTTATTTTTGCTTAAATTCAATTTAGATTTCTAGGAAACAATGAAAAGAGCATGAGTGTGCATTTAAAAAGCGTGTGAATTTGTGCACTTACTCAAGTCAGTGTGTTGTGTGGGTGTGTGGATGGCAGCTGGGAGGCAGACACGGTCCAGGAGAACCATCCCCTAGCAACTGACCTTTTTTGGCAGATGGCAGTTCCAGAGTAACAGCCACCGAGCATCACAATGGCTGTGGCCTCCTAACATCTCCATCACTTCATCATGTACCGGCCTGCCACAACCTGTCACACAGGAGAGAAGGAAGGTTACACTCATCCCAGATGCACACAAGCATCCTCTCATTTTTATATCCTCTTCTTTCAAGTCCAAAACATTCCACACACTGACTGTTCCCTTGTTTCCGGGGTATGTGCAGCAAAGCAGTCGCAGGGATGAGTGGAGGATAGATTTAGGAGAGACACAGCAGACACTCACTGCTGTCCGCAAAACTCCAGACACTGTCAAACCACTGTTTTCCGTTGTTGGGTTTTCTGCGCATAGTGAATCAGGGTGGGAATGTGGACAGACCACTCGATCATGGTGAGCAATCAGTATGATGTCTGTGGTCAGGCGCTGTGCCCCTGTCGAGTGAGACGGAGAGCAAACCCTGCAAGAAAAGTGGGGGGTAGAACTTTTTGCGGTGTTTGCGTGTGTTTCTTTCTGATATGCCAGCACACTTCACACGTGTATAAAGATGTTCTACGCTGTAGCCTCCTGCAAGCGACCACAGTGAATCTGCGGTGATATGTTTTGAATTACCCCCCAAAACACCACCACCACCCTCTGCACATACACAGCATAACCTCGTGATTGTCTTGGCTTGATGGCCTCTTCTCAGTTGGCCCATTTTCTGTTTGTATTAAATGCTTTTCTTAGCCTCAAAAATCCTAAGATAAACACCTCATTACCATGAAACGTCACTTCTAACTAAACAGCTGAAAGTGGTCCTCCGTTCACTGCAAACACTGAATGGTCACTTTTAAGTACTATTTGACAGAAGGTTCGGGCAATAATTTGGGAAGAATAATTATCCAACAAGACGCTGGAACTCCCAAATCACACATCTGCGAATGATTAACCTTGCAAGACCAGACAAGTGACAACAAATAGATAAAGTGACATGTCAAAATCGGTTCCACTGGATTATGCTTAAAGGGGGAAAACTGTGCGTCAGAGTGCGCCTTCAAACCACTGTATATTCTAGGGGAGATCTTATGCTAGCAAACACTGTTAGTCCTCCTGTAAACAGAGCTGTAATGACAGGGAAAATCTTTGGGCAAGGACAACCAACAGTAGAATGTTTACAGACATCTGACAATGTATGGGTACAGCACATCAACATTTCAGCTCTGAGATCCACATGAAATACGAGTATACACTGTGGTGGAATCCATGTGACACAACATAAGCTTGTGCATCACTTCACCTGCCAGCAGGGATGAAGCCTGCATGTATTCAAATCAAACATACTAGTCAATAAACTGCAGCAATATGTGTGTCTGTGCCAATATGTGCCTGGTTATATCGAATGTTAACACTTCTTTTCATCCAAATGTATCTTTTGAAAGAGCCTACCACTTGAAATTGAATAGAAAGAATATCTGCTACACAGCAAAATGTATCTAACCACAGCAAGTGAAAATGACCGTATCTGAATTGCACTCAGTTAACCCACCTTGAGATTAGGACCACAACAGCTTTGAGTCAAACCAGCACCGAATATTTTTTTTAAGGAATGAGGCCATTATCTCTAATCTAGTAATACTGCTGGAAACAGAAGGAGAAATGCTCAGTTTTTGGATTTAATTACAAGTTGTGTTTTACAGGGACAGTGGGCGAGGGCTCAGCACTGACACAGCAGTAGAGGAATGTTTATTTGCTGCAGTTTAGGAGCTGAGTGGCTTGCAGGAACTATGACACATTCCTGTGTCACCGTCTCTCCTGCTTGCAGACGCACCACGGCACTCACACACCGGTGCCCCATGTGTTGGTTCACGGCTGCACAGACATACACAGGGTCCTCCAGATACACAAAATGAGACACCTCTGAATCAGTAAGCATGTCTAAACAGTATGCTCTCTATAGTGACTTAGTGTGACATAGCTTACTAAGCTAAATACTTTCCCTGGGTGTCAAGTGTGTATGTGTGTGTGCCAGTTGCACCACAGCGACTTGAAGGTGAATTATTCACACCTTACTTCAACATTTTGATGATCACAGCTTGCAAACTGTGCAAACATGGATATGGATGTGCTACGATATGTGTGCGCTTACTTGAACGTCTATGTGTCTGATTACACACACACACACACATACACACACACACGCTTCTACATCTTTCCTTCTGCAGCCCAATCCATTATCCCTGACCGTCTGGCCACCAAAGCCTGTAAATGAGACAGTTCTCTTGGCAACTGTATTTTAAAGGCAGTGACACAGGGGACAGCCAACCACTGGAGCCACACATCTTCCAATCTAAATGCATATTGAGAGCTGCTTGCATAACAGAACCGCCCCAGTCTCCAACTCTCTTTGCCCTCTCTCAAAACACACACATTTTCTTTCTGTATCCCAATCACAATTACACACACACACACACACACAAAATACTGCTCCCACCCACCCTTGTCTCTCTGTAACATACTCACCCAAGCTTTGAGGGCTAATCACTTCCAGAGCTAGAGTTAACCTACAAACTGTGCCAGCAGTCTTTCAATACATCAGCCTAAAAAGTTCCTTCTGGATGCCAAATGAATATTGTGAGTGTAATACACAGACTGGATTTAGCTACAGTACAGAAGCCACAAGCACTGTGAGTTCATGTACAAATGTGTTTCATTTAGTGACATTAAATACTACGTCTTTAAGATGAGCATTGTGCAAAGTTAAATAATAATAAAAATACTCTGTAAATACTGTAAATGTCATCCTACAGGTGGCTACAAGCATCAACAAATGCAGAAAGGGCAATGAATTCATAATATTGTTATGCACAGGAGAACACTGAACATTTACACCTGAATGTGTCCTTGGCTGACACACGGTTGCTGAAAAATAAACACATTCTTTGTATGACTGAAATGGCACAATAAGTGCGTTAATTAATACCATGTGCATATTGTAGCCCATTCAGGGTACAGCTGGGGCGAGCAGTGAGAATGTGGAGAGACATCTTTGTATTTCTTCACTGCTTGTCATAAAGTTTTCTGGCATTTGAATACTCTAAAAGACACATGGGTGTGTTAGCTTGATATAATAATAATTGACATAATTGTGATGATTCTGCTACGCAACAGCCAGAAAGTTCCTGTCCTAAATTCTCTGGCATATAAACATGTTTTATTTGATTACAGCTTGATTCACTTTTTGTGTGCAAGTGCTTACCTGTTTTTGCATTAAAGGGGTCTGGGGATTTTCTGTCTTGTTTAGAGTGGACTCCTGTACCTTGAGATCCTTCCTTCTTTGACTTCACCTTCATCATTGTACAGCATGTGGCATGCTCCCCTGAGACCCTGGGAAGGACATGATAAGGATAGGAGAAATTTATCCCCCTGAGAAACTTTGACCTGTGCTTTTGACCTTTTCTAACTGTTTGAGTTAGCTAAGAGGAAAGGCTGCTCCACACAAACACACCCCATTCAGCCCTGCTGTGATTTAACCCCAAATCTTTCTGACTTTCCTGAGACAATAATACTAACATTTTTATATAGCTTTATAGTCAATTATTTCAAATGAATACATCTCATGTTTAAAAAAAGATATCAAATGTCACTGCTGAACACATTCTTCATCAGCCTAAACTTCAGTTTTCCAAATTACATTGGTCTCCAAAGTTAACTTTCATGTGATGTGTGAGAAATTATGCAGCAAAAACTTGCACTAAGATCAAGAATATGTACTAAGTATAAGTTAAACTCACACACAATTTTAGATTTTTAGATTCTTATCCATTGTGCAAGACATCTCAGACGTGTCTGAAATTCATTCTGCGACATGATGACAATCCCAAATATGTGGCCAAACATAAATATCTTCAGCGACAAGCAGAATAAAGAGTTGTGTAACAGATGGCAACAGAGTCCTGCTATCAACATCATCAAGTCAATCTGGGTTCACATGAACACACAGAGGCAACTGAGACAGCCTAAACAGAACTTGGATTAGTTCTCCATGAAGCTTAGCACAACCTACCTGCAAAGTAGACTACCTTGAAAAATCTGTGAAGGTGTATCTGGTGCTGCTTAAGGCAAATGGTGGTCACATCAAATCTTAATTTAATTTAAATGTTTTCAGTTTTTAATGCACCCTGTATGAAGTTAATTGATAAATAAAAATAACTCATGGCATTGTTTTTGACAGCATTCTCACCTTACCTTTAGTGCCTAAAATGTTTGCAGCACAGTAGACTTACTGTGTTTAGCATTGTGTTATTCATTGTTTTCTATTGATCAGTCATAGATCATCACTCCTTGTTGCCTTGAGACAGTACTGGGGGCACCAATACATCTTATCACCAAACATGACAGGATGAGGGAGCAATGGGATTTGAAAATTGTAAAAGACTGCCATCTAGTGGCATTAGGCTTCGGTACCACTATTACCTTTGCTTGTTTACACAAAACCAAACCCTGGATTAAACATACCGTATATGCAATGCAGTGTCAACACATCTAGAAATTAGTTAGCTACGCAGAATGAGGCGAACATACCTTACAAAAGAAGCTAAAGGGCTACATTTTTACTGTCTGCTAGCAATACTGTGACATCCAAGACCAGAAAGACACAGCACTAAAATACAACGGAAATTACAAACTTAGTTCAAAGATTTATTATGGAATAATATAGCCACGCTAACCTATAACGTTATACGCAAAATTAATGTTAAAGTAACTTGACCCAACTCATTTTCGTGGCAACGGCAACAGCTAGCTCACGTTAGCTAACATTATGAACCGCTATCTTGTCCGATGTTATAACATTGCATAATAAATATGTTTTAAATCGCGCGTAGATAGATTCTGAATTATTAGCAAGTAACACAAACTAACTTGTTTAAAATACACTCATACAGTAGAGTAGATTAACAAAACAATCGTAAGGCGAAACAACCTAATGCTACTATGCTAACCTACTCAAAGTTAGCTACAAGCCGCCCCCCTGCCCAAGATAGTAGCTGGTAGAATAACGTCCTGTAAAAATAAACAAACGAGTACGCTTTTATAACACAAATTAGATGCCTGCCATCAGTTTATCTGTTTACCTGTTCGTCCTAGTCTCCTCCACCAGGGGCCCGTTTCAAGAAGGAGGTTTAACAAACTCAGAGTTTCAACAAAACCTCCTTCTTGAAACGGGCCCCCAGGGTAATTTTGTCCCCGTTGACGTTTTCCATCCGAACTTGTAAATTTAAACAGAGGGAACGCCCATGGAAATGAACGATCACACCGGCACCACCTCCAGATATTCCGCTGCAACAGCTGTGCAAAGCCGAGTGTTAAGATCGTGCAGTTTGTGAGTAGGACCATGTTTCGCTGATATTTTAAATGAATATAAATAAATAAATAAGGCCCGCGAATTTCTTCAAATGCCAACGCACTACTTTTTAAAATCAAACTATTTAAACAATAAGGAAGGAAAACAGTGGGCTTATTGTGGTATATGCAAGACTTCTGGGTGCAAATGTCATGCACTCAGTTAAGAGGTGAAAGGAAACAGGCTGCTTCTACAAAGGGCAATGATCCACAACACACCTCAAAATCCACCACAGAGCAGCACAGAACATCACTAAAAATATGTGGGTAGTTAAGTAGATTTTAAACACTGTGTGCAAGACAGCCTAAAAATATCTCAGAGCTTGAAGTGATCTGCAAAGAAGAGTGAAAAGTGGGTTACTAAATCCAGAATAGAAAGACTGTTAGTTGGCTGCATTTTGCAAGTTGTGATATCTGCCAAAAGGGGTTACTAAGTACTGATTTAGTGCACTATCCAAACGCAATACTGTTGACATTTTTTCTTAATTTTTAAGTTATTGAAATAAAGTGTGTTAATATTAGAGCAAAGGGTCATTTTTAAGAGAGGGGTTGTATTTACTTCTTTTCACAAAATCAAATAAGAGTGTAATTTGTTCAGGGGTGCCAAACCTTTACATACAAATGCACATGATAGACCACCTATAAGTAAAATAAAATTCACCCTGTCAGAGCTGTTTGTGGGACATCGCCTCAGAAAGGAAACCTGATGTCACACTGTTACCGTGCCTCAAAGTGGAACACAGAAGCATGCAGCTTCATTTGTGGTAATTTGAATACTGATCAGAATCTGTAAAATGATAAGGAATTAAGAGAAACTTTGAACTGTAAATGTAAAGTTTAAAGGCCATAGTGCTGTTTTTGCCTGTTTAGTCCATTAATGCACATTAATTTATCACACTAATTACAAACTTTCAAAGAATATTATATAGGTTTCTAGATTTTTTTACATGTATACCTCTTAAGCAGCCACTTGGTTCAGATGAAATATGCCCATCACAGCATCAAGGAGCTTAAGGCAGCATAATCAGATTACTTGATTCCTTTGACTACCAGTCCAACACCCAGAAATATCCAATTTACAAATGACAAAAGAAACATACCCTCAAACAGTGAATCCTGGACATAAATGGCTAAGTGTTTATCTAAATTGATTAATTTTATGTTGATCTATTAATTGGTTAATTCATTGCTTCTACATTAATTTGCAGGTACTGTCCTTTATTATTTTCATTTTGTTGTAATTTACCATAGTTCTGTTGACAACTTTGACACCATTATTAAAGAGAGACGTTCTGTCATCCCAAAGATATATTGTTAATGTTTTCATCATGCCTATGATTTAATGTTTGTCCCTCTGGATGAGATTTCCAGCAACATAGCTTTGGAGAGCTGTTTGGTAAACAGCTTGAATTCTTTAATTCCCATTAGCACTTAAATGTACCGTACGGGGGTTTTGAAAGTCATTCTTTTCAACTTTAACCTACATTTAAATTTAAATGTATGTTTTCTGTGAGCACTGGGTTGATTTTCATACCATACAGAAATAAATAAGAACTGTGGGTACATTGCAAATAGACATATGCATTCAAACCCAGACCCATGATGTATTAGTGATGTGTATTAAACTGAGTAAAACATGCAAAATGAACTAATCAGAACATAAATATGCGGAGCATGCCTTCTGAAAGCTTCCTGCTGGGCACAGGTGCTAGGCGATTCTGGGTCTATCCATGAGTGGATTGCAAGCAGATTTTATTCCTCAAAAGTGTTCAGCATAGCTTTCTTGTCACATGTGCACCTTGTTTTTACCAAATCATTTATCTAGACTGTTTAAAGACAGAAAAATGTCAATACCCAAACAGAAGCAGTGCACTGGGTGGGGACATTAATGTGGTATTTTTGTGAGTTGTTTACATCAAGGCTGCAAATATTTGAAAATATCTAGTGACAGTTACATGAAGAAGTGGTTTTGGTTTGGGGTTAGAATATCCTGATTATCAAAATTACAGTAAAACGCACTGCACAACTCAGTACACAATGCCTGATTTGGCAAATGATTTTGCCTTTCTTGACTTCCTCGGGGTGGTGATGGGTACGCTGAGGATCACACTGAAGTAAGAAAAATACTCTATGCAGATACGTGTTTGGCTTTTATATAGACTGGGATCTTTGTTGCTAATTTCTTCATTGTGTATAACTAAATCAGTCAGAAGACATAACAGCAATTTTTTTGCATACACTGTGGTTATTTTTACTTTTGAATAATGTCATTCACTGTAGGGTCTGACCTTAGTCATGTACTTTTTTACATTGCACCTGGAATTTTTATGTAGGTGTAGCCAAAAGAGATTTTCCACTGCAGAGGAATAAAATGTCAAGACTAACCTGAAACACACACAAAAAGAAGGTCTGTCACATAGGCCAAAAGGTCATGTAAATATAAAGCAGTCTAAGTTTCAGGTTAACTCGATTCATTGTAAACACTACCTATTTCAACTGTTTCTCAGAAGAAATACACAGCTTATCTTTGAAGTCTTAACATTCATTATGGACAATGCAAGAATGTTAAAAACTATTAAATACAATATGTTTTCTGTGACAACAAACTGATTTTAAAATTGCAATTTTTTGGATGTAAAGATGTAAAATATTTAAAAAACAAGCAAAAGAGGGTGTGAAAATGTAAATGTTATTTACATTCTAGTTTGTCTGGCTTGTAATTTGAAAGGATTTAGCATTTGTTTGACAGATTGTAATGTCTTTTCTTCTTCCTACTTTTTATGTTCAAGTCTGTGTTTTCAGTGTATTGCTTAGATGTGAGACAAAGTTGAAAGACAAAATAAATTATTAGGCTTCTATTACAGGGTCCACAGATACATAGTCTGAACTTAGATGCTTCTTAGATTCAGGACAGCACAGGATGTAATTATTAATCATTTGTTTAAAGTTTTTTATTGTGTTTTTTTAATGTTCTAAAACCTAATATCCTGAACTCAGAAATCATCTGTATGTGATCCTCACACGTGCTACTTTGACATTATTTGCTTCCTCTACTATACAGATAGATGGATATATCAGAGAACCGATAGTTTTGTGGATGTATGATTTTGATTGTTAAGTAATTATCAAAACTTGTGGTTACATGATGGTACATGGGGTTCCCTCACATGGCCTATCCCTAAATTATTATTGTTAAGTCTAAATGATGAAAGTATGTATATGTATAGCAGATATATAAGCTAGATAAGTTCAGAATTTGTGCACCCTTTGTTAGGTCATATTATGTAACAGTGCCGCTGTTAAGGTACAGAACAGGATTAGAGTCACTGTGAAAAAAAATTCTTTGAATTCTGGCTTTAAAGCTGACATTTAAAAAAGTCAAATAGTTGTTGTTTTTTTTACAGTAGTTCTAATCTTCTTCCATACCAAGGGTTCATATTGACAAGTGGTAATATAATATACAATGTAAAGATTTTTATTATTGTTAACTAAATGTACATTACAGACTGCAACGCAATTATGAAGGTCCAGGTCTTTACATCCTCAAATATGACATGGACCGATGGACGTAGCTCCATAAATTAAAGTCTAAACGACTGGTGTGGAGTCTTTATCTCTACTCAAGGACCAGACTCTGCAGCTGCTTGGTAGCAGCAGTCACAGTCAAAGAATACTTGTTTACGCAACAGTTTTTTGTATCATCTCACAGGGGAATGTGAAATACCCATAGTGTATTTCAGGTGACAAGCGCAAAGCTGTGCACTGTATCGTAGTCAAACTAGGGAAAACCACTTTTACAATAAACGTAACTTTATTGACAGTAAAAAGTTTCAAGAATATCGAGGGGCACGCATTTGTAAATGTAAGAACATCTTGGAAAGCAACATGACTTTCTGAAATAATGAGGCAGTTGTTCATCTTTAACTTTGAGGTAAAGTGTTTTGTCATGTTATATCATTCACAAAATATCATATAACATTGAAAAGTTCACACAAGGAGACAAAAACCCATGCCTCATTTTCACGTCTTGAAATTACTAATTAATAATTCACAATTAAGATAAAAGCAGAAACTGACAAGCACACATGCTATATTCCATTCACACATTTCGCAACTTATCAAACCAAGTGCATTTGATTTTACTCTTTTCCTCAAACAGTTTCAAGTACATTTGACTGTAATTAAAGGAAATCAAGTTGAACTATGAAGCAGCAAACCCACAATAACAAGAATACTGAGTTTGGTCTCATTCGTGTCCTCAATATTAACATTATCCGATAACTCACCATACTGTAGCAATAAGGTATTTGGGTGCTATAAAGAAGCAGGAGGTAACATTTCATGGACTTGAGGAATATGCTGGATAAGATTTGGAATATAGCTGATTAAATACACCAAGGCTGAACCAAACAACACTAAATAGATCATCACAAGTGTTAACTGAACAGATCCAAACTGATTTCTTAATAATTCATTTTTAAATAATTCATTTGTTGATTCACTTACATTATGGAAATTGTTTCAAATCTCAGTCTCAACTGCTGAGAGCAAAACCACAAAATAATTATTTTAGTTAAAGTGATATTTAATTCTCAGTCACTCATTGCAGCAAATGTGAGTGCAGTCCGCACAACCAGTGCAACGCTGTGGGATTTCTGTCGAAGGCCAGCTCCGTTAAAAATACACTGGTGTTGCAAAATTGATTAATTCTTGTGAGCATTATGTGATTTATCAGTGCAGTAGAACAATCACAGAAATCAAATTTGTAAAGCCAAGTGCTTCGGCAAATACGTTCATATATAAGCAAGGAACCTAAAAGTGCAATCATGTGTAGGTATAGCACGCTGGGCCATCTCAGTCAGGCTCTTCCTGTACACTACATATGGCTCGCAGTCTGATCTGCACCAGTATTCTAAGGCTCACTTTAAAATCCTTTATGATATCGCTTTGTCCTGAAAGTCACTGTGCAGATGTATAATATTCTCTTTTCTGAGGTGACTTCACACTGTTGAACCGTGCTGTAAACAATATGTATTCCTGCAGCAGCATAGTACTGCAGGAGTTAAGGCAATCCATTTCTGTGCTTTGTCTGTGACAAAGCTCATCCCAAACCCAGAGGCACAAAGCTCTCAGTGCATATTAAGCTTACCTGACACCCTACACAAAACGCAATCCTTAACCACAAAAACAAAGCTCTTGGGTGTACTATACCAAATATAATTCTTAAAATGTACAAGCCATGCTTTTCTTAACTGCCTCTGACCTTGTAAAAGTACTAACTAAATTATTTAGGAAAACATGGCTAGTCAAAATTTTTGAGCACCAGTTCCCATCCAGTTTTCTAAATTAAGAGGAAATCCCCCAAGAAGGCACTTTTGATGCAAAACCAGTAGTTTTGCTCGATGATTTGATATGGGAGTGCAATCACTCATGAATCAGAATGTAATTTGCCTCCACCAAACTTTTTAAATGGTATGGTGAAAAGATTCTCCACTTGTGTCTGCTATAGTTTAATAAATATTCTCATAATAAAACCACAAATTGTTTTACTTACATTATGGATTTAAAGCAACTGATCTGGTGCAGAACAAACGTGAGCCCACAATTTTAGAGAGCAGCAGTCACCTCTCCTGGTCCTGCCACGAGCCCCTCTCCTCAGCCTACCTGGTGCTCTCCACGGCTGATGTGAGATGAGAACTCGTAGCGGTCCTGGCTGAGGTGGCCACAGATGTTGCACTCGAAGGGTTGGCGGAAGCCGTGACAACCCATGTGGATGGTGAACATGACATGGTCCAGAAAGAGGATGCGGCAGTGCTGGCAGTAATAGGAGCGCACAGGCCTGCCATCCCTGTCTAACACCTGTACAGTCTCCCAAGAAAGGGGTGAGCCAGGTCTCCTCTTTGATATGGTGGTGGGCACCGGACATGCTCTCTCCCACTCTGGGTCCAAGTCTTTGACCTGGCTGGGGTTGCAGGTGGGATGGCTGCGGGGCAGTGCTGGGGTTTGGTAGTGGAGGTGGTGGTTGTTAGAGGTACTTGTCGGGGCTGTAGCCCTTGTGCTCTGCTCTTCTGCTGTGCTCTCTGTGTCTGTAGAATCGGGGCAGCCGTTGGTTGAGGTGCTGTGGCTATGGGCTGAGGGTTGGTCATCGCGACCCTCACCTGCTTCCCGCCCAGCCAGGCCAAGAGACATCGTTGCTAGCCCACCGCCACCATGGGCTCGGGGGCCCTGAGGTGTCACACTGCTGTTGACAGAGCCTGATAGACCTGTGGGGTGTTCCAACAGGAAGGCAGGATGGAGCTGAGACAGTGCAGGTGACTCGTGGTTCTCACCTTTACCCCTAGGGCCTTGGAGATGTGAACCAGGCAACGCTGCAGAATCCCCAGCAGGCTGAGAGCTCATGAGATCCCCCTCTTTCTCAGAGCCAGAAGACAATTCATAAGGTGCTTCAGGTAGGACGAGGTGCATGTGCTTTTCACCTGCAGAAAAATTAAGACAGAAGGTCCCCTGGATTTACATCATCTGCTTCATTTGGCAACTTGTCATGGTGCAACATTAACCCAGCATCTCCAAACTGGTAAACATGTTGACCTTTGACAGGACAGCTGATGATGTTAGACAAAGATCTTACAACCCCAAATCAGAAAAGTTGTGACAGTATGTAAAATCAAAATTAAAACAGAAAATAGTGATTTGTAAATCATCTGTGTCTTATATTATATTGAAAACAATACAGCAGCACAATATTTGACACCTCATCAGGTTTATTCTTTGTTCAAAATAAACACTCACTGTGAACATTGTGATTCTGATGCCTGCAACACATTCCAAAAAACGTTTGGACAGTAAAGCATGTACCACGGTGTGATGTTGCCATTCCTTTTCACCACACTTAAAAGACATTTAGAGACAACAAGTGATTAAGTGTGTCAGGTGTAATTTTGTTCCATTCCTCCTGCAAACAAGTCTTAAGATGCACAACAGTCCTGGGTCTTCGTTGATGCAATTTGCGTTTCAAATTGCACCACACATTCTCTATTGGGGACAGATCAGGACTACAGGCAGACCAGTCCAGCACTCGCACCTTTTTCCTCCAGCCAGGCCTTGGTAATGTGAGCAGTATGAGGTTCTGCATTGTCTTGCTGAAATATGCATGGGCGTCCCTGGAAAAGATGTCATCTTGAAGGCAGCATATGTTGCTCCAAAATCTCTCTATTTTTCAGCATTAATGGAGCCATCACAGAAGTGTAAGTTACCTTTGCCAAGGGCACTGACACAACCCCAGACTGTAATAGAACCTGGCTTTGGGACTTGCTGCTGGTAACAGTCTGCACAGTCCTTTTCGTCTTTGGTCTGGAGCACACGGTGGCTATTCCTTACAAAAAAGACCTGAAATACTGATTCGTCTGACCACAATACATGTTTCCACTGTGTGATGGTCCATCCCAGATGCCTCTGACCCAGAGCAGTCGACTGTGCCTCTGGACACTGTTGACATAGGGCTTCCTTTGGCACAGCACAGTTTTAAGTAGCATTTATGAATGTAATTATGTATTGTAGTGCTTGACACAGGTGTGCCAAAGAAATCCTGAGCTCATGTGGTTATATCACTTATAGAAGAGTGACAATTCGTGATGCAGTGCCGTCTGAAGGGACCAGAGAGCATGGTCATCCAGCTTGCAGGCATCAGAACTGAAGTGAATGTTTATTTTGAACAAAGAATAAAATTTATAAGGTATCACATCAAATAATGTGCTGCTGTATTGTTTTCAATGTAATACAGGGCACAGATGATTTAGAAATCACTAATTTCAGTTTTAATTTTGATTTTACATACCCTCCCAACTTTTTCTGATTTGGAGTTGTATTATGCCAGACCAGGTTCTTATCCCTTATCAAGCTGAAAAATATATTCTTATTAATATATAATTGAAACTGAAATAAAAAAAAAATAGAATATGTGTGTGTAATCTGTGTAAAACCCCTCTTTACAAATTGTTTTATTAAAAAACAACTCACCCAAAAACTTCTGTGGTGTTGACCTCTTGCGTTTGGTGAAGCTAATAGCCAGTCTATCCACAAACTGATTTCTGTCATTGGATGGCTGGAGCACAGGTTTAGTAATCGTCTCCATATTTACTGATTCTTCTCCTGCAAACAGAAGGCCCTCATCATTCGTCAGGTTTATCATATTTGTATAAATACGATAAACTTGCTTTATTCAGTACATCTGCGTGTACAATCCTGTAGAAACATACAGGTTTGTTGTCTATAAAAGCTAGTGGGTTTTATGTTTGTGTGATGTGTTACCCTGCGCTGTCTGTGTATTAACTGCTGTCTGGTGGTCCAGACTCTTCAGATAACTATGGCAGCGCTCTAGATGTTCCACCAGTGTGCTTTGTTGTTTGTAGCTGCGACTACAGGAGCTGCACTTGAAAGGCTTTCCCACCGTTGGAGAAGAGACAGCTGTTCAAAGACAAAAAGCTGAACTGATTTCTTCCAAGTCAGACAAAAGGTCCAAAATTTCACCCAAGATGATCAAATGCAGAGACAGTTTTTGTCTAGAACTGGTATAACAATTTCACATTGGTGTTTAATCATATGTTTATGAGAGGGGTAATTTGTTTATTTTATTTTATTTTCAACAAAGATAAAATTGACTATGTTTGAGAGAAAGGAACCTACCCATTGATTGGCAATTCCTGGAATTATGCTATGTTGCTCGCCAATGACGACAGAAAAACGCCTAACCCTTCACCGCAACGTTCCACCAGTCGGAAAGACTGACGTCAATTTGCTGAAATCCAGTTTGCATGAATTTTTTCTTTGAAAATGACCTTTCAGACCTGTTGAGATCGACCAAAACCTACTGCACCAGAACTGTATTTGAACACCTGTTGAACGTGTGTTCACAAATTGAAAGCACCAACAGGATTTCCTGTTTTCACAAACTGTTAAATGTCATATTATGTCATGTGTTTTACAGTAGATTCTGGTAAAAAAGCCCTATTTCCTCTGAGCTTCACAGAAGGCGGAAATGGTCCATTCTAATGAATCCGCACTTCTGCGGTTTAGCATCATTTCATAAGGTATACTTCATCACAAATAAGGAATAATATTATAATATTATAACCACTACATCCGTCAAGTTCAACACCTGAACAAATCAGTATATGAAAAAATCATGGAATAAGTTTGAGTTGTTAGGTTCTGTTGTATTGCACATAAAGCTCACTGAGCTACCTGTGTGTGTGCGTAGATGTCCAGCCAGGGCATCTCTCCGGCGACAAGCATAGTTGCAAATTTGACATTTGAAAGGCTTCTCTCCTGAATGCAACTTGATGTGACGTAGCAAGTTCCCCTTCTGGGTGAACGAAGCCCCACACTGGTTACACTGGAACGGCCTCTCTCCTATGAACACACAGGATTTCAAAGGTAAATATCACTTTTATTTGTAGGCATTTACGTTTATGTATGTACTGGGATAAGCACTGCCTTGCTGGCTTGTTCTCACCTGTGTGGCTACGCTTATGCACCATTAGCACATTGGGCCCAATGCAGATCATGCCACAAACCTCACACTGCAGCTTCCCATTGGGCAGTCGGATGGGTCCTGGTGAGGCAGCGTTTGGACTGGCAATCTCATTGTAAATGCTTGCTCTGTCTCTTCCTGCTCCAGCATATTCTGCGCTTCCTTCATCCATGGGATCCCCTTTGTCTTCCCTCCTATTATCATCCATCACAGCCTCTCTGTTCTCCGACTGTGGAGCACCAGGTGACTCATCATCACTGCACAGCTCAACCTTGATGGAGTTTGCTGTGTAGGGACAGAATGAGACAAAAAAAAAACACACTTACCTTCATACATAATTTTAATGAACATGTAGACACAATGCAACAAAGGAATACTAACTGACCACTAAAGGAGCGGTGTGGTGAGGACTGCTGACTGTTTGGAGATCTCGTTGCGGGGCCATGCAGCCCACCATAAAAATTCTGTTCTGTTGATGACTCTCCTCCATTACCTGAAACAATATGATGCCTGTGTTATTAAAGTAAACATTAAAGTCTAGTGACTGTTGTAGTTATTCCAGGGTAAAAACTTACCTTGTGCGTATGAGCGTCCATTGCATTCTTCAGCATTCATTCTCTCACCAGATGCCTAAAAAATATGATTTAAAAACAGACTGTAAATATGATTTTTTCCATTTCATAATGATCATTTGAAAAAGATCCAATTATCTTAGTTTTACATCAAAATTACCTTAGGTATTAAAGATGTAAAATATGCTTAGCAGCTGTTTGTTGGTTCAAGAATAAGGCTAGGAAACAGATAACTTTGTGTTTTCAATTCCAAGTATCTAAAAATAAGATCACTGTAACACACTAATCTAGTAAAATTGGGTTGGCTCAGCTGTTTTGGTATCATGTAGACTCTTCTGCAGTATGGCCTGCAAATGAATATGAGATTTATTGAGGTGATGGCCAAGAGTGTTGAAGGAGGAGTTAAAATTGAATGGGGGTTGGACAAAATAGCAGGAACACTGTACACTTTACACTAAAAAGCAATCCAGTGCAATCCATTGCAACACAATTAAAATGAGAAAATATCATACTTTATAGATGTAGTGTTAAAGCTGGAAAAAAATGGAATAAAACAAAACCAGGGATGCAGAGAATGAAAGAATACATATGAGCCTATGTAAAAAAATAAAATATTATACTATATAAAGATGTTAGAAATCACATTAGAAAACTTTTAGTATTTTAAGCCAACCATAAATAGTCGTACAAAAAATGTAATAATGATAATGAGCAGCATTTAGGGCACTGTATAGGTTAGGCGGAACAACAGCAGTCTACCACAACAGACAACAAAGTGAGGTATGTGGCAGTGCTGAGTACATCTCCAGACATACAGTAGGCTATGTTCTACATAACCAGAACGATGCTCTGTTTTATTTCAAGTTGAGCACAATGTTTAAAAAAAAAGAGGGAGAAGAAACACCAGTATGTACAATACTGCATCTTCTGCTCAAATGGATGACAACACTGGACAGAGGAGACTGTGAACCGAGCGGGGGGCGGAGACAACACGTCGCAGGGAAAATGTACATCTTCGCGCTGGCCGTGCATGGGAGCAACAGGCGCTGCTGCAGCCCGGAGACGCACCAGTCACACCGGGGCACGGCGATTAACAAGGGACGCACACCAGCACCGACCCTTGTCTGACAATACGTTCTGCCCGAGATGGGCGACTGTGCAGCTAAATATATACATTTTCATTTAACTATCATGCCACTTCACATATCCGTAGCTACTTGTTTTAGCGATCGTTTAGGTCCGTTATGACACCAATCAGCTCATGAACGGGCGAGACACAACGGCAATGTGTTGCAGGAGCTGCCACTGACTGAATTGTCCGCATAAACGCAGCTGTCATCCAACATCGAGCACGTCAAGCTGGCCTGGGCTATACAGTGCTTCTCATGTGCCGTTGCTATGGCACCCGACCACACGACAAATGGCACTCACCCTATCAGCTACTCAAAAACATGCCGTACTTCCAAATTAAAATCGATGGATGGTCTTACCGAGCGCCGCGGTGAAGTCCACAAGCCTCTTCCTTACCTGGCGACCGATCGGTGTTTTCCTTTTTAATTGTCTGGATAGCTGTTTGTTTTCCCAGGCGTCGACAGCATCTCCGGGATTTTTTTTTTTTTTTTTTTTTTTTTTTTTTTTTTTTTTTTTTTTTTTACCTGGGAATCCCAAACAACTTCCGGGCCCATGCTGGGATACAGACCGGACAATTGTACAACAGATCTCTTGATTCAATGATTATCGAATGCATCGATGCATGTCAGCTCCCAGTCCAGGTGGCACAACGTATTGATAACGTTATGTCATAACTCATAGTCTCAACAGACCATTAACTATTTAGACTGTTGCGTGTGAATATCTGTATTGGCAAACAGTGGCTACGAGCTAGCCAGTTAGCCTGCTAGAGATAGTACAGTTATTACTGGAAAATTCACCGTTTATGATCAAAGCCTCCTCCGGAAATGCTTGTGGAGAATAAAGTAGGCAGGTTATTTTACATTTCTCAGTACAGTAACCCTAACCCCTTTATTACACAGTGTACATCATTTACAAATAAATTTTAGTTTTCATGTTATGAATATAATATTATGCGATATGTGCAGGGCAGTGATAGTTTAGCGTTTAGGAACAAGCAGGCACACATGAAACCATAAGTAAAATTGTTGTGAGGAAATAGTTTATGGTGATATTACAAGTATAGTGCCACAAGGTGGCAGACCAGCTCTGACCCAATCAGACAACTGTGAAATGCAAGAGCAAATATACAGTAGGTTATTATATAGGTTATATGTTATTACCATGAAAATAAAAAATAATGTTTTAGAAACATTGCAATCATCCCTGATTGTGCGTTTGTAACTATTCAAGCCAGGTAATGCAAAACAAAGCGCAACTATCTGAATCGATCAGGCCTGTGCCAACGCAGAAGGGCCTCATAAGCCTCATGGATCTTCACAAACATTGCCTCCGCATCCTTACTGGGGTTGTGGTCTGGATGCCATGTTTTGGCTAGTTCCCTATAGCTTCGATGTATGTCTTCAAGAGAAGCCTCTGCTTCCAGTGACAATACCTGCAACATAGTTCCAAATTCACAGGTTATTAATTAGGACTATGCTAGAGCAATATGTTTACTCACTGGTAATGTACAGAGTGACAAACAGTATACACCTCAAACTATGACGAATCTATAGCTAAGCATTAACTCGTGATTTTTAACCTTTTCAGAGATATGTGAATGCTCACCTGCAGTGCTTCCTTTTCTCTCTCAGTGTACTCTTTGAGCAGTATTTCCAGCACCTTCTTCCAGGTCTCTTCATAATACCCTCCTCCAGTGAGAGCACACAAGATTCGATATGGCATTAAAAGAAAGTACTCCAGTACACTTCTGAGCCATGGCAGAAACCAGAAAATATCCAGCATTACTGCTACACAGTCAGATAGGTAGTACAGTGTTGCTGTGGTGTTATAGAAAACACAATAAGCCAGTGGAGCTGAGAATGCCAGCCAAGCCAGACTGAGCCTGTAAAGCCGTGGCCCTGGACAAAAGAGGAAAAAATTTATTTCAGTAGGACTTAAAAGAAAATGACACAATGTTGTCTTTGTTTAAAAGGACGTCAAATGATATTGTCACATTGTGACATCTTCTCACCCAGGTCCTGTGCCTTCCCAGGTGTTCGTGGAGGCTTGAACCTGCGGTGCTGTGCAGCCGTGACACTGGCAGCCAGACTAATAGGAAGGGGTGATAAGGTACTGCCATAGAATATTGGGGATGTTATGAAACAAGCAGTCAATGTTTTTTGAAGATCAGAGGTCTGTTGGCCAACGCTTGACACTAGATGTACCCCTGCACCCACAAATAAAGGCAGAACTATCAAATAGAAGAAACTGAGGGAATTCAGTCCTATCAGAGCCACAGTACCAAAGTAGATCCCAACACACACCTGTCCAGCAAATCTAACAGGGCTTATGGGTGGAGTGGCTATGACAGATGATCTTCTTCTCTCTTTCTTTGCAACTTGATTGGCCTCACCAACATAAGCAGGGATACGTATGACCTCTCTGACCCAGCCAAACCCAAAGCCTCCCAGGGTTAATATCCATAACAGAGCATGGTTGTCTCTTCCTAAATACAGATGGTGAAGGCCCAGGGGTCCACCTACTGCCCACAGGGCATAAGCTACCATTACACTTTTTACCATCCTGGCTACAGTGGCTCATTCCCCATACATGTAGTCATTCTTGAATACCTGCAATGGAGTAACACAATAATTTAGTCTAATCTTCAAGTCTACCTTGACATTTTTTTTTATCATATCACATTTTTGTTTTTGTTCCCAAGCTCTCACGTCATTACAAGGCTGTGTTATACAGTATTTTATACACTGTATCTGTCCATGTTATTACACATGTATTTTGAGTATCAAATGTCATACGAAAAAAAAACTATAGACTCCAACCTTTCTCTATAAGCAAGTGCTCAGTTAAAAAGGCTTTAATAGATGACTTTTCAATAATTACTTTTTATACACTTAAGATCTATTCGGTTTTGTCTAATAAAAACTAGGTTACTTACCAAGCACATAATTTCAAATCTTTATCCCGATAAATCCTTTCTAGTCCTTTCTATAGTTGAAGTTACTGCATGTTGTTGCAATAGTTGGACTTTGGATTATTACAGTGAAATGGTCTGTGGCCTCAACACGCCACACAATTTTGCCCTTTACTCGTGTTCACTGATAAGGTGAGAAAATGGGCTAAAGAGGACATTTGTAAGAAACAAAGAACACATACATGTGTTCATCATTCATTACAAATAGTGCAGTAAGAACCTTGAACTGTAACCTAAAGCCCTATATTTGATTTTCATATGAGACAGATAATCTCATAAATCCAAAGCCTATTCCTGAAGTTACCTAAATTAGGGGTGGAAGAAGTAAGTTTTACTAGATTACTAGAAAAGAGTAAAATAATGCTTAATGTTGGAGAAATTATTTGGTGGGAATGAAAAAGTATCAGTATTGGCACCAGTGATTGTGGCCTAGTACTGGCCTACTTGGTCTGGGATCCAATCCAAATTCTGTGGTATAGTCCACCCCTAGTAATTAAATAATTATACTGCCATGTACAGAGTGCTAACAGGGGCCTTATAAAAATTCTCTTTTCTTCCTGGGGCCCCCTAGGAGGTTAATCTGTCCACACCATGTAACAGAGTGTACAGCACATTGTTGTGAAACGTGCCAGAGAATGTTCAAGTAGCCCACATGTACTTTTAACGTTTAATTGTCACATTGTTGTGAAACGTGCCAGAGAATCTTCAAGTAGCCCACATGTACTTTTAAGGTTTAACCCTGTCGGGTATGTTCAGTATGTAACACACCTTTGGATATTAATAACACCAATCTGATGACGCCAAACTAATGATGATGATTGACAGCTACCTTTGGCTGACCAGTCTTCCTCTCCTCTGTGTAGCCCCGCCCCTTGAGGTCCCTCCTCCTTTTTCTATCAGAGTTGAGCGTGGCACGACGCTAACTCAGCCTTGTAACTGCATCCTGGTTGGGCAGATACATATTCACTGCATTTCTGAGGAGATGCTGCGTCTTTTAACTCTGTCATTATTCCCCCCCCAGTGCCTTTAAGCCTGAAAGGACATTGTAATGGTTTCGGAGAATGGAAACGGACGACGTGTCGGTTAGAGAGCAACTTTTCCACAACCGTGTCCGGGAGACCATAGTAAGTAGTAGCTATCGCTAGGCTAAAGAGCCGTTTGTTAATATGCATATTAGGGTCGCAAACAATACATTCAACCACTTGCACCGCGTGAAAGCCTCGTTGCTTAAATAAGAGTTTGTTTCGTATGGTTTTACGATTGTTTACGCTGAGATATAAGATGTGGTAAGTATATATAGCAGCGTTGAAGAACAAGTATGTGTAACAACAAATTTAACTTGACTTTTTGGTCAGTTTAATGCTTGAAATTCGTTTTATCTTCTGAATATTGATTTACAGCGTCTGTATCACGACCCGTGCAGACGTGTATTGCACGGATGCACCTGGTCGCGCACATAGTGGTGTGTGCGGCACAGGAATATCGTGAAGCATCTGGGGTTTTCCTGTTCAATTTATAACGGCTGGAGTCTCTTCTCACATCTTCCCGTTATCTGTTTACCATGTCTTGGCCCACCCTAATGTACAATTTCTGTTTTGCTATACTGATAATAGTGCATTTAATCTTTGCTGTGCGCACTCTTTCAGTGATCGACTCTATTTTGTGTAGCACCGACTGTCCCCGCTGAACTTTAGATTTGCCAGAAATATGGGTTTAAACACAGCCAGACACGTGGATATCTATGTTTAAAACCCTAAAAGGCCCAGTCGGTTGTCATTGGCAGTTCATTTCCAAAGACTAGCGATATTGCTGATGCATAACAGGAAGAAACAATGTCAGCATCTTTTGTGCTGCGTATTTCAGTATCGGGTCTTGTTTGCTCAACTGTAACTAGAGAGGGTGTGGTGGGGGGGGAACGTGTAGCCAAAGTTGTATTATTGAAAGAGAAGATTAGCAAAAACCATGTATCTCTACATTAGGCAAGGAAACTGACCTATATTTAGGGATTAATTAAATGATATACAAATTAATTATTCTAGAATAAGGAAAAAGGACATAGAACAAAGAATATGGTAGAATAACTGAAGCAGCAAACCCAATAGCTCCTAAAGTCCACTGTCATCTCCACTGTTTTGAGCATGTTCAGCTCCAGGTTGCTGAGACTGCACCACAGGGCCAGCTGTTCAACTTCCTGTCTGTGGGTCGACTTGTCACCGTCTCGAATGAGACGGTGACCATTGTGTCATCTGTGAACTTCAGGAGTTTAACAGAGGGGTCCTCTGAGGTGCAGTCATATGTGTAGAGGGAAAACAGCAGCAGGGAGAGCACACATCCCCCGGGGAGTGCCTGTGCTGATAGTCCGAGTGCTGGATGTGGTTTTCCCTAGCCTCACCTGCCGCTTCCTGCCTGTCAGAAAGCTAGTGATCCACTGACAGGTTGAACCAGGCATAGGTCTCTGGGGAGTTGAGATGTTGCAGGGTGTAATGCAGTGCTATGTTGACTGCATCATTCACTGACCTGTTTGCCTGGCAGGCAAACTGCAGGGGGCCAGCAGGGGGTCTACGATGTCCTTCAAGTGGGCCAACACCAGTCTCTCAATGGACTTCATAACTACAGATGTCAGGGCAACAGGTCTGTAGTAAATCAGTCAGCTGATGGAGGGTTTCTTGGGAACCAGGATGATGGTGGAGTGTTTGCAGCAGGAGGGGACGTTACACAGCTCCCGTGATCTGGGTCAGCTGATCAGCACAAGCTTTCAGGCAGGAGAGGTTCACACCATCTGGGCCCGGTGCATTTCTGATCTTTTGTTTTTTTAACAAGGCCTTGCACATCCTTTTCACAGATCTTCAGGGGCGGGGGGCTGGGAGGTTATTTTAGGGTGGAGTAGCTGCTAGGTCTGAGGTGAGGGGTGTGGAGTTCTGCTTCTCAAACCTACAGTAAAACACATTTGGGTCATCTGCCAGTTGATGGTCTTCCACAGCGGGGGTGGGTAGTTTCCTGTTGCTAGTCATGTTTTTCAGGCTTCTCCACATAGATGAGGGGTCGTTGGCTGAAAACTGGTTTTTCAGCTCCTATTTACTACTCCGATCTCCCTTGTAACAACCATCCCATCTGTAACAACCTTTTTAAATATAGGACCTATAAACAAACTGGCAGAGAGGAAAGGAGATAGAGGGTTGTTTTATTTAATCTAATTTGTGCAGTACACATCAAAAAGTAGACACCAAGAGTGTTAGTATAGAGCAAATTACGGCTAAAATCAGGAGATTTTTCTAGACACCCCAAACATTCTCTCTCTAAATAATGAGTATTAAAATGTTACATTTCCATTTAATAAATAGCATCTTATGTAACCAAAAAATGTTTGAAAGAGGAGATTTGTGAGAATTATTCTAAATCTATAATCTGCAAACAATCTCTACTAGTGTTTGCTTGGATACAGGGGAGATTTTTTTGTTGTCTGAGAATCCAAAAGCTGGTCCAGCTCAGGATCTGTTCAAAGCATTTGAAAACCATCCAAATAGCAGAATAGTGTTTATCAGCTAAATTCTCACACACATGGTGCCACATGGTACCCACCGAGCGTTACATAAATGGATGATGAAGCAAAACAACCAGTTAATCAATAGGAAGATGTGATCTTTACCAGATGGTGCAGCATTGTATAACATCTTGCATAAGAGCATCTGACAAATGTGTCTGGTCTCAGATGAAGAACTTGTCTATGATATGGTGTGGGAGCCCCCACCCTGAGCTTAGAGAGACCAGGATGGATCAGTGTGTTGCAGGATAAAAGGTCTTGATAAGATCTTGCGTTAAAGAAATGTGACAAGCAGCATCAGTGTGCATTAACATATGAAATCACCCTTTGAAGTTATTTGAGCACTGTATTATTTATACTTAAATGACTGTACATTTAATAGTCCGCTGCAGATCTGTTTCTTAGCATTCGGTCAGACTTTAGAGAGAAGGAGGAGGGACATTAAAGAGCTGCAATTTTGTTGTTTGAGTTAAATTAAGGACAGGCTGGGACTTAACTAACTGGAATTTGAGTTGCTGTTCAAAGTTGTATACTGTTCTGTCAAGCTGCTAAAAATTGGATGACACATTCTAGTAGAATAATCAAACCCCTTGCACAACATAGCCATGCATGCACAGATTTAACTAAAATGTGAGTCGTATGTGAACATGAGCAAGTACGACAAAATCATGTGTGCAATGGTTAAATTGCAGTATGGTCTTCTCATTCACAAGGTTTCTTTCTGCCAACATGATTTTTGATGTCTGTCAACCTGATGTCTACAAATTCAGTTTGTTTGCTGTGGCGAGGGCATTTTTATTTTCCAGGCAGGCCCACACAGTTTAGATATATTTGGATATACTACACTACCAGTCAAAATTTTGGATGCTTTCATTTCTGTGGGATCGAGTGCAATGACTAGGCTTTTACAAACTGTCCACTCTGCTGCTTGGATTATATGGAACTAGCATTAATTTGAAACATGTGGAGATACATTTTTGCTAACGTGTGGTTCTTTTCATGTATTTCTTGCTTTGTATAATGGTCATACAAGGGATTTACCTCATTCTTTAGGCTGAAATGCCAGACAACGGATTGCTCAGTAAATGTACTGTAGGTTTAGCCTAAATTTGTTGGTAGATTTAGTGTAGGGTAAGAAAATCTTTACAGGCATTCTGGAAGCTATCTATCACTGGTATAAACCCTCCCTCCCTTTACTCTCCTTAATCCTACTCAGTTTATCAGTCATCCATTTCGCCACCACATCTTTGTTAAGATACAGTGGTAATCTTCAGGCTCCATCTGTCTCTCCTGGCCTTGGCAAAACTGATAGTGCTTTTGGCTCTTTCCATCTGCAACAGTTCAGTCTGTTCTGTTTACTTTTTGATGCATTTCCCCTCTCCATGTATTTTCAGTGTCCTTGGTTGCTTTTGATATCTGTGCTTCATATCCACCCCCACATTTAAGACCTAGCAGAATCTACAAAATCAGAGATGTGAGCCAGCCTCAATAAATATGTTGCTCATCAGTAGTATTGGACAGAATGCGATGGCTTGTTTACAAGGCTGCACTTTCTTCATGTGATTATCTACTTAAGCAAATAAAAGAAATAACACTGTCTCATTTTATAGCCAAGATCTCAAACTGTGTGAAATGTGTTTCTGTCTCTTCTCCAGATCTGTGTACTCCTGTTTACATGCCTGTACATAGTGTCCTACCTCATACTTACCCACTTCAAAAAGACTGCTGAGTTTGTCACTGGTGAGTTTTTTTTATTTTTTTTTTTAAATCGCTCCTTTCCTGGATTTTAAAGGCTGTACCACATAAACAATGCTCTGTGAGAAAGATTCCCACTAAGGCTTATGGAAACTTGCCGGGAGGGGAGTTGATGGTGTTGACATGCATGGTGATTACATTGCTGTTTTGGAATGTTTTCACAGAGTATCTAGGTTATACTTTGCAAGCAAGCACAGGTGTTATTCAGAAACAACCCATTCTATTTTGAGTGAAATGTTTATTTGGTCATTTTTGCAGATGAGGCTTGTAAATGAATGCCAGAGGCAACAAGGTCTTTGTTATCCTCATGTAAAGCTTTTTTATTATTAAAGTAATAAAATTTAATATGGCCTACTTCATAAACTTTACTCAGATTTTATTGTTTTCTTTTTAAAATTGTACAAAGACGTTCTAGGTTGCATATATCTTACACATTTATACATAGCCTAGGTCAGTGTGGTATTAAGCCTGCACATTTCAGCCCATGGCTCTGGAGCAGTCTAGAGGTGCAGAATGCCTGTTAGGTAACACATAAACACTTCTTCACACAGTGTCACTGTGAGTCAGGATGAAGGCTTGGGGGGGGGTCATGAATGTTGCAAGAAACTATACAGTTGTACATTGAGCTGTAGCTCAGGCCCCTCTACTTTATCTTAAAGAAGCTCTTTTCAATAAGCATGTTTATTGTATTTTGCTATTCTATTAGTCTTTTATTTTTCACTGTGCAGACATTAGAAAAATATGGTCAACATGGTATTGACAACAACTTTGTAGCTTATAAACAATAACCTTATGCATTTAGATCTAAAATATGGTCTTTATTATTACAACTGAAAACAAGTTGGATGTTCTGCAGTGGGACTGGGTTGACAGTTACATAAATTCAATAACTTGCCACTATTGGAAGCAGATGTAGCACGTCCAACTTGCCATCAGTAATGGAAGAACAGTTGTACCCTGTAGCTAAATGACGATTGTGCAATACCACTCTACGGTGTTATTTTAGACTTTAAGCAAACGTAAAACTGGTTTTTGCTCTTCAGGCTTTTCCTCAAACCAGATTGCTTTGGCAAAATTTACATGGGAATAAATGACAGTATCATGCACTATGGTGTGCATTACTTAACTAAATACAGCAATTCTTCTAGTATAGCTTTTGTAATCTGTCGGAATTATCTTTATTTGTAGTGTGACAGTTTTGGGCATACAACATAAGTTATATTTGTGGCAACCCACTATTGTATATACATAAAAAGCAAGTATTTCAATTGATGACTTGGAATCAGTTTTGTAATAGATCTGTATCTGCTCTTTCAGATGATGCTGAAGATGCCACTGTCAACAAAATTGTGTAAGTAAGAACCTTTAATGATTAGCTGATTCACAGCAATCTGTTCTCACTCACTCACTGTGATTAGTACCCGACCGAGTGACTGAGCAGATACCAGAGTCAGTGTGACATGAGTAGTGGCCAAAGGCCGCTTCACAGTGGATTTATTGCCCTGTCTTGTGTGTGGCTGTTGATTGGGATGGGGACATTTCATCAGTCAGACTGCCCTTTGCCCCTACACGCTGGCACTCTGTTATCTCAGTCCAAGACCATCCTAGCCTTTGAAGTGCCTGCAGCTAAACATAACCACACATGGGACTACACTAATGGCCTGTCTCTTCTCCTTCCCACAGGCTGTGGTTGTGCACATTCACTCTATCTGTTGCAGTGTGTGCTGTGCTCCTTCTCCCCATCTCCATTCTGTCCAATGAGGTGCTGCTCACCTTCCCACAGAGCTACTACATGCAGTGGCTCAATGGATCTCTTATCCACGGTACTTGTTTTTCACTAGGCGACAGCACCTAAGCAACAGTTGATACTCAGGAGAATCTTTTCAAACAACAGACGTCATTACTGTTTGAAACTGAATCGAATTTCAATGTTTCCGCTGGGAGGGGGTTGGTGTGTGTGTGTGTGTGTGTGTGTGTGTGTGTGTGTGTGTGTGTGTGTCTTCAACCATTCTGATAGATCAAAAAAACTATACTGTAAGATTTGGTGTATTTAGTTAAGTAATGTACGTGATACTGTCATATGCCGGCGGTCAGAGTGAATAACAGAGTGTAATTTAAAAAACAAGATTCACAACAAGCAAATGAGTAATGTTACTTCATGAGATATGGACCAAAGAGTAATGGGTATGCAACGGGTTGTTGGAGTCAAACTGTACAATATATATCTGACTTAACATTAGTTGGGCTACTTCAATCTACTGTCCTCTTTCCTTTCTTTTTCACCCTTCTATCCCTCTCTCCTCAGCCCAGAGTTGCTACGTGTCTCTGTGTTGTTTATCCATCATTTCAAATTAAGATCTATAGCAGTGTCATGTAGTTGTGATGTTATGATATTTCACAAAATTCTGAAGCAGCAGCGGGAACAGTTTTGCAGTGCTGGCCTGCTGCGGAAACACTGGATTTAATGAGGATCACTTGTACTAACCCCCAAAATCAATACACAGCACACAGGACTGTGTCCAAACAGATCATTGTTATGGACAGGGTGGCAGTGACCTTACTGTGTGCATTGTTGGGGTCAAAACATTGGTCTTCTGCTGTTTACCTCAGTCAAGCCCACCAGCTCTAATTGAATGATGGTGTTTTTTTTTTTTTTTTTTTTTTTTTAGATTGGCCAGTGCAATGTAAAGTAAATCAGGCATGAAGTGATAGTTCCTGTGAGAAGTGTTCTGATGATAATTTCAGCTTTCAAGTACTCATTTTTAAATTGTTGCACATATCTTGTTTATTTGCTGTCTGATATGATTGCACCTCCTAGTGGTGTTCAGAGGTACAGCTGAAATGCTTCACTGTATAATGAATGCTTGTACTGAAAACTAACATTTGCAAAATCCTTCTTCCACTTTTTGTCTTATCAGGCTTGTGGAACCTAGTTTTTCTTTTCTCCAATTTGTCCCTGGTCTTCCTCATGCCCTTTGCCTACTTCTTCACAGAGTCTGAGGGATTTGCGGGGTCCAAAAAGGTACAGGTTTTGGCATTGGCTTAAGACTCCAAAACAATTGACTCAAGACTTAACTGTAAATTCAGAGCATCTGCAATTTAATCTTTTGATAAGGGAGTATGTGTTTTGTGCCTGTAGGGCGTCATGGCCCGAGTGTATGAAGCAGCTGTCCTGCTGTTGCTGCTGGCTTTGCTTGTGCTGGGCATTGTGTGGGTAGCATCGGCGCTCCTCCATGACAACTTGGCCAGGAAGAGCCTCTATGGTGAGTCACAGGAATCATACCTGAAGATCCAGTGACAACTGGTTTTTACAGTTGCTAATGTAGCTTCTGACATTCTCCTCGTGAATTTCAGACCTGTGGGAGTACTACCTTCCCTACCTGTACTCAGGCATTTCTTTGTTTGGAGTGTTGCTGCTTTTGTGTAAGTATATCTCCGTCACACTTAACTTGAGCAACTAAAGATTGACATGTGTGACACTTACACATCACTGTGTGTGTGCTTCTTCCTCAGTGTGCACTCCCTTTGGGTTGTCTCGAATGTTCAATGTAACTGGCAGCCTGCTAGTGAAACCACGGGTGAGTCACAGGCCCAGTGTCTATAACGAGACAAAGTCTGCACCCATGCTTGCAGGTCTGTGAGGCTATACTAAGGCAAAGTGGCGCTTTGAGCTAAACGTGTCTTACACTATGTCAGAGTCCATACTACAGGTCTGAACAGATCTTTGCTATGTAGTGTAGTCAGTATACTTCGAAAGTATGTATATTAAATCCATTCGACATTTAAGCATGCCATTGATGCACTGTATTCTGCCCCAGTGTAATTCACAAACGAAGTGGGTGAATTACTTATAGGTGGAAAAAATTAAAATAACGTGATTGTGTGTGTGGTGGAAAACACAAGATTAAATAAGTTTAATGTATTCCATACCCCCTCTAATGTTTGAGACAGAGACCCATCATTTATCCATTTGCTGCTTTCCACATGACTGTGGAGTGACCTGAAATGAGGGGACTGTATATAAACGCTGCTGTAATCTGTACATGGTAAAATCAAAATGTATAACAGCACCCTTACATGTTAACCACATGTAACTGATTATTACAAATCTCAAACTGTGGAGCATAGATGCAACTGAATAAATGATGGGTTTTTGTCCTAAACGTTACAGAGACCACTGGAATTTTCTTGTAATACAAATTGGTTGAGGGTTTTCTAAGTGCTCTAAATGTGGTATGACAATTAGTATGTGATACATACTGTATAGAATTAATATGTAGTATGGACTTGGGACAGCATGTGCTGTAAATATGTTAACATTTGCTAATTAGTAATAAACGTGAACTGCAGGTGAGAATGTTTTTACAAGTATTTACTCGTACCAAAGTATCGGACAAGGTAAAACTTAGACCTGGTGATGGTCGGGTTAATGAATCACCAATGTTATTGTAATCCATCCTTAGCTCTTAACAGTTCATTTACTCAAAGCCAGCATTTCAACCTAGTGGTGGCACTAGAGGAAAAGGTCAGAAGATCAACAAAATGAGTGAACTCATCCATTGGGTTCAAAGTTTTTTATCTTAATTTATTTAATAGTTGTAGATATTATCAGTATGGAACAAACTCGACAGTGACATCACTAGTGAAAGCTCAGAATTCACATAGAGTACCCTTTAAATAAGCACATGCTGCAGCTGTGAACTGTAATTTCCTGATCGATGTTATCCTCCCCTCTTTAGCTGTTGGAAGATGTAGAAGATACACTGAGCTGCACTACATTTGAGGAAGAGTCACTTTCCAGGAAACTGAAGTGTGAGTGGCTCACCATAACACACTCCTCTGCCGTTCTCTGATGATTCATTTTAAAGCCTGCTGATGACTGACTGACTGTCCCTGTCATGTGTCTGACTGAAGGTGGCAGTACATGCTGGGTCAAGCTGAACATGGAGGCAATGAAAAAAGAGTATCTAACAGTCCAGAGCAAGCGCATCGCTCTGGGTAAGACAGACAGGCTTCTCTCTGCTGACTTTCTCCAGTAGTGATGACAGTGTAAAATCATTTATTGTTGTTGCTTTACTTGTTTTTACCTTCTTGTTTCCCCCTCAGAGATGCGCAGGAAAGCCTCCCCATGGCAGAGAAACCTGGGCTATCCACTGGCCATGCTCATGCTCCTCGCACTGACGGTACATGCTTATTTCTCAGTACAGTCACTACATTCTGCTTTAGCTTTCATTTATCAACAATGGGCAGTTTTTTCCATTGTTGTGTAATTTCAGGTGATGTGTGTGCTGATGGTCTGTTTCAATGTGCTGGAGTTGCTCCTGGATGAAACGGCTCTGCCCAGAGGAATGGAGGTAAAGAAAGAGCATGTGAATATTTCATGCTTGATGAACAGCTAGTCATATGTGCACACAGATGATTATTATTTTTGTGGGTTTTAGGACCCTCACCTGGGAATGGCGTCTTTCTCCATGTTTGGCTCACTGGGAGCTGCAGTTCAAGTAGTCCTGATCCTGTATCCTTTCATCCCATTCACGAGTGTTTTAGTCGAAGTTTACTGGTAGTGTCCATTTGTTTCTGACTCATATTTGACCAGCATGTGTAATTTGGCTCATTTTGTCACATCGGTGTTTTTATGTACCGTTATTTACTCCCTTTGTGAGTGTATTACTCTTCAGTGTTGTCCTTAAAATGAACTGAAGCTATCTAATGGTGTCCTCAGTGGTAGGTTTCTATAGTTCTCCTCTCTTCACTGGTCTCCTGCCTCGTGCACAAGACACCCACCTCACAGAGGTACCTGACGGGTATAATCAGAAACTAGTGGTGTAGAGTGTTTACTTCTTATAGTAACCTCAGAATTCCTGTGTTTCAGATAATTGCAAACTGTGTTTCCCTGCTCATCCTCAGCTCTGCACTGCCAGTGTTTTCACGCACACTTGGTAAGAATATGGCATAAATGACATATGCGGTTTTTAGCCCACTCCATTCTACACACTAGGGCTGTCTTTCCAGTGCCACCAGAAACCTGGCAGTGAATAGATGGCATAATTCTAAGCAGGTTTTGAGTATGTAGTATGATCCGAGTGGGAAAAGTAACATTAGATATACATTTTAAAAAATTATGCTTTCATTTCTTTATTTTTAGTATGATGCTGATATGCATTATTGTCACAAAGTAGTTGGCTACTTAGAGTTGCAAAACATTAAAATAAATTGTGGACAGTGGTGAGATTGTTCAAATAAGCTCATGGAAAACATTTAAAAAGAGCCTAATCTTTAGTTAAACAGTCTTATCCTTTGTTTAAGGTAAAGATTTCTTGTATAGCCACTCCAGGAAGATTATTCTTTAAGAGTTGGAATGTAGCACATTTGTATAATAACTGTGTAGTATACAGCATTTAGTGTGGAATGTCCAGAGTTGCTGGATAAACATTTTACATGTAGTTCTAATAATGCCCACAAGAGGGTACTTGTATGCCATGAATACTGCAGCAGGTGAGGCCTGGCTGGAGCATTTGATTCACTTGTGGAACGTACTTTTGCCTCCACTGTGTTAGGGATCACCCGCTTCGATTTACTGGGAGACTTTGGTCGGTATAACTGGCTTGGGAACTTCTACATCGTCTTCCTGTACAACATGCTGTTTGCTGGTCTCACTTCTGCCTCCCTGATCAAGACAGTCACCTGGGCAGTTCAGAGGGAGCTCATCCGTGCCTTTGGTCAGTCTACTTTAATTCTGAATTTATGAAACAAGAAAAAGTACTTTGTGTGCATTTTTTTTTTTCTCGCAGGGATTGTGTGTGTGTGTGCAGAAATTCATGGGACTGTGTCATAAGTTTTTCCACCTTTTGGCCCAGTTTCCCTATGGGCTTGTCTCTCTTCCTCAGATAGAAAGAATACAATTCGTTCAGGAAAGTGTAAAGGGACAAGAGGAGAGTCAGGTCCCCTTGGGGACCTGCAGGCATACTGCCCTAGACCCCTCGCAGCACACACCCCCTCTAACCCTCCACCCAACACAAACAAGTGGTCAGAGCATGGACACGCCAAACACACACACACACACACACACAGTCCCCTTCCTCACTGTACAGATAGTATCTCTGCATCATGGCAGCTCTCCTGCACTTTCCCATTGCCTCCCTACTTACTTTTGTTCTGTTATTAATAGACTTTTCCTTTTACCTCCATTTTTCTTAGCTTTGCAAAGTTTGTGCTCCACCTTGTGATTTTGCTTAATATTATGGTCTTTTTTTTCCTTCTGTGTTTTTGCAGGCCTCCACAGACTGCCTTTAACTGTATCACGCTCCACCGTCCCCTTCAGGCTACTCCTGGCCAGTGGACTGTCTAAAATCCAGTGACCTCTCCTTGCCACCATTGCCCTCCCTAACCTTTAGAAACTGAGCCACTTCAAATATGCACCTGTTGGATTAAAGGCCTATGCAGTTCAGTCCTTTTGCCAGTTGATAGATGGGTCGGGTTATCTGGTGTGATGAGACCGGGGAAGGTGAAGTCTGTTTGCAGTGGGAGCTCTGCTTGATGTTGTGCTCAGTGACACTATATCAGAGTCCAACTTTGTGCAGCTATCTGACTGAAAGGACAAGTACTGGTGCAAGCGTTTAGCTGAGTCATGGTTACGAGTGGAACAAGGGGAAAAGGGATTACATCCATATTGGTAGTCCTGCTGTAGTGGACAATAGCAGACAAATCCCCCCCTGCCTCCACAAACATAACCCCTTTTGAAAAGAGGATCCACTGGATAGCTGTTGCTCTGTTGACACATGAAAGTCAGTAGAGTTCAGGTTGACTGAGTGCTCTTTCTCTTCTTGGCTTCCCCACACTTTCCTCTCTTAGATTGTACCACTATTTTAAGATTTGTTATTTGACTTCCATGTGTTTGGTGGTCTAGTCTGTGCCAGTGTTATGTTAAGTAAATGAGAGGATGTTCTTATTGGAAGCTAATGGACACAGAGGTCCTTGTCTCTCTGTGCATCCACAAGTTACACAGTGAATATATGAGAGTAGGGTAATGGTCTCAGTGCTGGAGCTCTTTTACAAACCCAGTTTATTACTTGAATAAGCCTTTTCCATAGTGGTTTATTGAGCAGGGTTTCTGTAGATAACAGTAGTCTTGCGGAGTCTGAGAGCTAGTCTGTGATTTATAACAACACACTAAAGAAAGCTTTAATTTGTCTCAAGCTAGAGCTTTGAATGACACTCGTCAGGAGGCGGTTCGGCCTTAGACCAATCAAACTGTGACGTATTAAGACTTTGTGTGGGGAAGTGCAATATTTTATAAGTAAAAGCACACTTTATAACTTTACCAAAATTGTTTTTAAAAATCTTACAGGTATATATCATTTCTATTAACTTGTGTGAGCAAGTTTTTTTTTTTATTTTATTTTATTTTACTTGACACTGGGTGAAGCTGAAAATGGTTTTCAGTTTCAAAAAGCAAATGTAACTATCAGTCCAGGAAATCCTTTTAGTGTCAGTAGTTTTTATATTTTGACAACTTAAATTCTGCCATGTTCATCAGCTGTAACCCATCATCCTAAATGTGTAGGTTCCACCATTTGCCTGCTGTATCAGCAGGTTATGAGCTGCTGGTTTGACCCGTAGGGGACAGTGTTTCTCAAACCCAACAACCTCTGTTGTGTCAGATTCTCTCTCCGCTCATTACAGCGTGTGTGGAGCACTCTGAGGTTTACTCCTGTCACTTTTTCTGGGAATTTTCTTTTTGTTTATGGGAACACAAAGTCTGTGATGTACTGTTTTTAATCATTATTTATAGGCATATATTTTGGATCTATGCTTGATATGCTGGGTCGTTACTGTTTTAGGATTTTTTGCAGCTGTTAACACTGTTGAATGTGATACAGCTGAGGCAAAAAAATCTTTAGTTTGTTCTCAGATAAAAAAAAAAGTTTACTTTTGTTTCAAATTTTTCTTAAAAATGAATTTTTAACCATCATTGCTTGATGAACAGAAAGCAATAAAAACCTCTCTTTTTAACCTTTGGATACAAATTGAGGTGACTTTTACTGTAAGCTGTTTTTGATGCTGTTAAATGATTGTAACATTTTATGAAGCATAACATCATTGTGAGTGATTTTGATGTGTTGGGGTATGTGTGTGAGACTGGTGTCCTCTGCATCCCTCTGCCCTTTTTGTTGCACTTCTTTAATCAGAAGCAGAAAGAAGCCATATTTTGGCCTGTCTGTCAGCAGTGTCCAGCTACGACGCCACTACAGCCGTAGCCCACGCTTTCCCTGCTCCGATGCAACTGTCAGATAAAGACCCTGAAAATCAGGAGGAGGAGTGACATTCACTCCTTTACCTCACCACCACCCACCTCCTTTCTTCCATCCCTTTTCCTTGTCGTTCATTTCCTAATCTCATTTTTCTGAAGTCACTTCAAGAAAACCCCAGCTCTGATTAATTTCTCCCTCTTGATTTTTGTTTGCATTTCTTGTTTTCTTTTGTTGGATGTTTTAATGAAGCTTATTTGGTTTAGGTTGTGTTTTGCACTGTGTTTCCTTTTGCAAAAAGGAAATGAACTCAAGTGTTGCCATAACAGTACTTGCACATCTGGAGCCTGGTCATTTCTTGAGGAAGTGACACATAAGGTGTGTGTGTGTGTTTGAGAAAGAGGTACTGTGCATTATCAGTGTGTGTTGAAGGAAAACAGTTTTTATGATATTTATGTTCGACCAAACCGAGGGTGTTACTGTCAGTTAAGATGTGAGGGCAAACAACAATCCAAGAAATGCAACTTGCAGTCATTAGTCACATTTTTCTTTGGAAGAGGCCTGGGGAAGCAGATAATACTTGGGTACTTCTTCTGTGCCGGTGCCCAGACACCACAAAGCAACCCAACATATTAGTTTTAACATTGGGTTTTGTTGGAGAAACACTGGGATAGCACCTCACCCTGCAGCAAAATATTAAGGGTTGATAGCAGTGCAATCAAAGTGTCCCAGCAGTCCCAGTGGGTAACACACTCTGCTGGACTGATTGTCGGCCATATCGGGGACAAGGCAGGAGGCGGGTAGCTTATAATGCGCTGAGATAGGCTATCTTTATTGTCAAAACATAAGAGTGAAGGGGGGAAAAGACACAGATTAGCTTTCCTGACAATCGGCTGTTTGAAGTTGGTGCCAAATGCGTTAGGGTCTGTTATTCGCTCGTTTGTACATTTGTAAATACAGAACCACTCACAGGAAAAGGCGAGACCTGCTCACTAATCAACTGATAATGGGTCACACTGTCCATTTGCCATAGCTGTCTGCCATCCTGCATGCACACTCATGGCACGCTTGCTTCACACAGTTGACTCTCACAGGCCTTTTTGTAGGGTAACTGGCTGAATGGTGCAACATGAATGCTTTTAGGAAGGAACCTGTAATTTCACAATTTAATAAAATTAGTAAGCATGCTCTTCATTATGTAATCTATACAAAGTAAATCATCTTTTGTCGCAAGGTATAGCATCATATTTAACCCTTGACCTGTTTGTCTGGGGACAGGAAGTTCCACCCATCTCAGTCTATTGTCCATTTCAGTACATCATCTCAACCTGAGTTCAGTATTGCTCTTCTTTTTTTTTAAAGCTCATATCAAGGCAGCGCGAAACAACATAAATCTGGACTCAACATATACATACACCTGAAATAAGTATATAAACAGGTGTATCGTTTAAGGTAAAGTACTGTGTGTAACCTTCAACACAAAGTTATGATAAGCCAAAAATCCTCCACTGTGTGCAACCACATCAGAATGCGCCACCCTACCTCTTCCTGCACTGATAACACGGTGAGAGACAGTAGACCGGACCACGCAGGGGTGGGCAGAGAGAAAGAATGGGTGTGTATGTGTGTGTTTAGGAGAGTGGAGGGAGGTGGTTAGGTGTCAGTTCCTTGACTCCCCCATCCTCCATCCCCCAACCCTCCATCTGCGGAAGTGGATCCTGCAGAGTGTGTATTTAGCTCCAAGAGACAAGACAAACACTTGAGATATCAATGCCAACATTGTTTCAAGACCTAACTCTGTCTTATAACAAATGTACCCTTAACAAAGCACTTGCAACCATAATATCATCTTTAGCTGCACTTGTTCAGTATTTGCCAGTTGAGCCAGTTTTTGAGTGTTCCTGAAAGGTTTTGGTGACACCTTCACAGAAGACGGGAGGCCGGGCTTACAAGCAAGGAGGTTGTGCTTTTGGTTCTGTGTGTGTTTGTTTATTTGTTGGTTAGCAGGATTATGGACAAACAGCTGAATGGATCATCAGCACAGTTGGTACAGACACTGGTGGGGACCAACCCTAGAAGTGATTAGATTTTGGCTGAAAAGGTCACAAAAAATAATGACAATCAAAAATTCCAAGATTTAACATTGGGTGAAAATTTAAAAAATTCTTTTCTCCGTCAAAGGTTATCAAAATCACACATACTGGATGTAGGGTGGCAATATCTATCACCAGAACAAATTTTAACGAGATCCAATCTGGATCCCAGCTCTGATGGCCATTTAAATTTAACAATGAAAACCCTATATAATGCATATTTTCTGCCATATCTTGGTCTATAATGAAGGGAGAACTCTTGAATGGTAACAGTATAACTGCCTATCATACCATAAAGGATGATCTGGATCAAGGATTTTAGGACACATTTTGTGTTGTTCTGGATCTTATCTTTCACAAGGGACCCATTTGCGTGAGCGAATGTTGTGCCTTGGCAGAGGTACTGTATATGCACTCTCTGGTTGCTCTAGTTTTGTATTTGATTGCCAGCTCAGGTGCAAGCACTCAGGCATCTGAGAATGAAACAGGGAATGCTAACACAGACAGGAAAGATCTCGTTTTTCTGTGCTGTGGCTTTGCAGGAAACCAAAGCATTCACCCAGTCATGTACTCCCATCCTGAAATAGGGGTGGGGGGTAAAATGCAGTGAGCCAAAAAGCCACAGGAGCAATGGGGCACCAAAATAAAAACTAATAATAATGACTTTATTTCCATCTCCAAGCCGTAGATGTTTGCTTCCTTCCTTTCTCTTTCATGTCAGATGGAAAGCTTTTCTTTTGTAAGGCTTTGAAGAGAAACATTGGTGGGCAATTGTAGATATGAAAGTGTTTGTTGCTTTTTGATTGAGTCATTCCCTGTATTTGTCATGAAGGCTGATGTCTATCATCAGTGTTGCCTGGCCCAGACATGAGCCTTCTTCCATGTTTATGATAAAGACAGGAAGATGCATCTTTGCTTTGCAGCCCCTCCTTACAACATTCTGGGATCTTCTGGAAACCTCCCTAACAAGGACACCTTTCCACGGTCACTGTGGAGCTCAGTGACCTATGCCTCATCAAAAGCAGTTTTTTAAGTGCTGTTTAGACCAGGCGCTATTCACAAGTGCTTTTTAGATAAGAATTTTTCTGTCTGACATTAAGAGAATGTCTTAATCATGATTTAATCTTTAGCATGTAACCACAGCAAATCATCAAGCTATGCATACACACAAAACTTTGTACTGTATCTAAACATCCAGAAGAGTAGCTCTGTTGTGAGTGGACTAAAGATTCTTTAAAACAACGTCACTGTGAAAAAAACTGACCATGATGCATTGAGTGTTCCAGGAAGGTAGAGATAGGATGGTGACACACTTCAACCTTTAATCCATCATTAATTTAAGCTTCCGTATGTGATTACAGATGACAGACCCCGGAGACATAATGGTTCTTTTCTTTTCTGCTCCCTCGTTGGCATTATCTGACACATTTTATGACTCTCCCAGCTATTGTTCTGAAATGGATAAAAATAATATGCTCATGTGGCCGGCGGGTGTTTCCAGTGGAGAGGTCTTGGGTGCACAAGGTTCAGGGGGTCGGGCTGGCTCCCCAAACACAGGAAGGCAGCACTGTAAGCCACAGTCAGAGGTGTCAAGGCTGAACACTTGTGCTCCCTCTCGGACCCTCACCTTCAACTCTGTCTATTAATAACCCAAGCACAGAATCCTACCAGTTGACCTGTTCATTCTAATGGATGGGACTAGCAAATAACAGAAAGACATGTTGGTTCAAACATACACAGCTGACATAAGAGTTTGGTTTTTCAACTGTAAATAGACAGTATGTGCTATAAAATATAAAAGTTATGTATTTTAAAAGTAGGATTTGGGTGATTTAGTGTCATTGATTAAACTTTGCTGTTTGCTGTGGAAGAATTTTCTTCACCCTTAAATTCTGAAGCGGCTGGCGGCCGGTCATTGTCTTAACATGTTGGCTAATCATATGTCCTTAGTAACAGCTGGACGTGTCACCAGAAAACCTCAAGGACTTCATTATCCACTATGGTTGAATTGGAGGCGTGTGCTGTCGCAGTGGGAGCGCGCAGAGGGAAGGGAGGGCAATCTTGTCCGGACTCTAATAAGACCCAATGGCTGGTGCAAGGTGGCCAGGAACGCTGAAACGCGGCAGAGCG